TATCATTTCTTTTTCTTTTTTGTGAAGAATCTGAATTTAATAATAATCATTCTTTTACATGTACGATTAGTGTTGACTATTTTTATAAGTCTAGTTAGTCTAATTTAGTCTAGTTAGCTAATACATATAATACTGTTAACGTGTAATTCTTACAAACTATGACTGTTAGACAGGGTGTTCGAGCGGTTTGTTCTTTTTAATTGAGCAGTAATCTTTCAACAATTTGCAAGTTTTAACACAGACGATTTATCCAGTATTTATATTATTATAATAAGTTACAATTTTAATAGATTGTCCATAGTATGTATTTATAAATATTGTATTTATTCATGAGTTAAATAATAATAAAGAAAAGAAAAGAAGAGTAATACTAAAACTAAAATGTAATGCGATAGACCTAGTTGCCTCTAAACTGTAGTGTAACGTGATAGGCCTGGTTGCCTTTAAACTGTAGCGTAACGTGATAGGCCTGGTTGCCTCTAAACTGTAACATAATGTGATAGGCTTGGTTGCCTCTAAACTGTAACGTAATGTGATAGACCTGGTTGCCTCTAAACTGTAATGTAATATAATAGGCCTGGTTGCCTCTAAACTGTAACATAATGTGATAAGCCTTCAGGATTGATTACCTACGTCGATTAACAATACCTCACTCACTGCTAAAACTACTCAAGTTATCTTCTCCCTCCTTTTACATAAATTAACAAGTTACCTATTTATATAAAATATATTATATAGAAAAATATAACTAACATATCTAATATATCAACTATGTCAACTATGTCAACTATATCAAATATGTTAACTATGTTACATATGTTTGACATGTTTAATATGTCAGTTATGTCATATATGTCTGATATGTCTAACATGTCAATTATATAATATATATCTGTTATATCCAATATGTCGTTTATGTCGATCATATCTGCTATGTTATACATATTAGATAAGTTATTTATAAATTGATCATTCTTCTGCATTACATAAGTTGCGTCACATTTATCTGTTCACAATACTCTTTTTTAGCAGATTTCGTGTAATCATAATAGATATCATTATTATGTCTGAATATTCTCTAAATATAATTAGAAAAGATTATTAAATCTAGGTAACAATAAGTAATAATACATACTTCTATTAATAGCATCATCTGCAAATATCTATCAACTTTATCCAATCATTCTCAAATTTCCAAGGATTTTTTCAGCAAGAAATATATTTTATCGGCCAAGCATATTCTCTAGAGTTCACCTTAGTTTTCTAGTTTATTGTTTGAAAACTAGTACCAAATATTATTTTCGAAGACCATATAATTTTAAACTTAACTATATATATATATGTTTAATACAATATATTTTTTAGATATTTCTGTATCCTTTTTCTGCTAGTCCAGAATCTTCTGCAAAGAATATTGATCACATTATGAAATGATTATTCAAATCTAAAAATTTTCAAAATACAATTTGTTACAGTATCACTAACAATTTTTCACCTTCAATTAGAGTTTCAGATTAGTTGAGTTAACTTACGAGTCAGATAAGCTGAGTCGAGTTGACTTGAATTGACTTGAGTTGATTTAAATGATTTTTTTTATCATTCAAGAAGAATGATAACAAATTGTTCAACTTGAACGATTTTTTTTATTGTTCAAGAAGAACAATAACGAATCGTTCAACTTGAATGATTTTTTTATCATTCAAGAAGAACGATGATGAATCATTCAACTTGAATGATTTTTTTTATTGTTCAAGAAGAATGATGATAAATCGTTCAATTTGAACGATAATGAATCATTCAACTTAAATAATGATCCAAATCATTCGACTTGAATAATGATCTGAATCGTTTGACTTGAACAATAACAAATTATTCGCTCTTTTCCCCTCCTCCTGATCTTTTCGTTTTTTATTATTATTTTTTTTTAAAATCGAATTGAATTAAAATTGAGTCGAATCAAATTGAATCGAGTTTAAAATTTATATAACTCAAATCAAATCAAATTGAAAAATTTTATAAAATAAATTTAACTCAACTCAACTTGAAAAAAGAGAGTCAAATAGAGTTAATTTTTAAACTTAACTCAACTCGACTCATTTAGAACTCTACCTTCAATATTTACCTAATGTCATACCTTTTGTGTTTTCATTTTTCATAAGTATTTCGGGGGAGCTGAAAATTTTTAAGTAGTGAAAAAAATTTTTTTATACTTCTTATATGAACTCAAAATGATCATCATAATAATATTCAACTAATAAAATACAATACCAGTTTGTTTCACATCATATGAGAGGTTTGTTATAAAATCAAATTATAAACATAATAAATCATATGATTTATAATGTGATTTTAATAGCTTATCTCTCACATGTTTGATTTTTAGAAATATATTTATTTCAAAAAAAAAAGATTTTGCATTTTTGTTTTTTCACTAAAATGAGGATAAAACTAGATTTGTAATTATATACTAGTATAATAAAAGAGCTGAAAGATAACTTTCATTAATGAAATGTTCAAAATTATAACATCTTTTTACAAAGAACTTAAATTCTGCCACGACTAACAAGATCAAGCAGAGCAAGTTTTTAGAAACACAGTCAAATGTCTTTTAAAACATTACAATAGTAAAATAAAATGATATATATAGTCAACTTTTGTTATAACGAACTTTATTTTTAGACCTCAACTTCGCTATAAGGCTATAGTGAAGATTTTAAGAGATTTGATTGGCCAATTCACTATAACAAGAGTATTTTTATTATATTTGTTTAAAAATTCGTTATATCAAGAGTTCGCTATATCAAGAGTTAACTGTAAAACTTTTAAAAAGTGAATATTATCAGATTCTTACTTTACTTTACATTAATTTTTAAATTAATACTATTTAGTTTTGCTTTTTCTACATTAATTTTTATTCTTTTTTTACTATAGGAGGAATATATAATTATATATTAGATGTATAATAATATTCAACTTTTTATCACTAATATAATATAGAAAGTACTATGAAGTCTATCAAAGAGAAAAAATTGGTTTAGATCTAAAGGATGTTTCATTTGTAAAAAGAATTTTAGATATATGGTAATATTGTTAGCTGATTCTCAATTTATCCTTATTGAGATTATTTAATATTATCCTAAATTCTAGAGCATATAAATGGAAATCAGAATTCAACGAAGTCATGAGTGAGTCAACGTATACAGCGTCAGATTTTAAAATTTTGAAAACAAAAACTACAACATATTTAATAGTTTATGATTCATTTGTCATTAAAATAGCAGAAACAGAATGTGTATAAGTCTAATAAGAAGACTGGTAGGAAATGCGATGGCATACTTTTCATAAAAAATAGAGCAATAGAAAGATTAGTATTTGAAAATGTTTGCTCCTTCAAAAAAGAGTAATACCCAAAGTATTACAAATGCGTTAAGAGATTTATTTTCAGAAATGTCTAAATTACTTTCTAATAAACCATATCTTGAATATTTCAAAGATTTAAATAAATCATTTTGTAATACAATTAATACTCTATGTAAAAGATTTTAGACAAATAGGCAAGGAGTTGTAAAAATCTTCAGGAAATATAGTGAATTAGTTTATATTGTATATAGTAAGTTTTCAAAATTGCATTGCCTTTTTCTTTTTGAAGTAGATATTTAGTGTTGACTTACTAACAATAAACTAGAAAATCAAGGTGAACTCTGAAGGAGATGCTAGGCTGACAAAGACAAATGCCTTGCTGAAAGAAATACAGTTGACCCTCTCTATAGTCACACCCATATATAGTCACACCCCTTTATAAGCACATTTACATTTGTCCAGGTTACTAATAAACTTATTAAAAAAACCCCCCTCTCTTTAGTCACATCATATAGTATTTTTATAATCACATCATTTTTTTTGGTCCCGAGGGGGTGACTATAGAGAGGGTTGACTGTACCTTGGAAATTCGAAGATGACTGGATAAAATTAGTAGATGTTTGTAAAATGTTGTTACTTATAGAAGTATGTATAATCATTATCATCATTATTCATACCTAGATCTTAATGTGTCTTTTCTAATTGCGTTATTCCAGAGAATTTTCAGGTTTAACGATGATGTTTATCATGATTATACGAAATCTGCTCAAAAAGAAATATCATGCGTGTAGCGGAATGGTTATCATTAAACTAAATGTCTCCACAAAAGAAAAAGCAACTCGGAAATAAGATTTAAAATTACTATTTTTTTTTTTTTCCTTTCTATTTTAGCTAGTTGTTTCATAGAAATGTATACTTTTAAATAGTTTTTTTTTTTTGGTTTTTATATAGTTCTTATTTTCTTTTTTTTCTATTCAAACAGCTATGTAAATTCCCGTTAGACAAGGATCAGTGTTCGGAATAGATCGCGAGCCTTTGTGCCGGTCTCACGGCGGTCCCCTAGCCTGGCTTTTACATTTTTATAAGCCAAATATGATTTTAGGTCAAAATATGTTCAGGTTTAGCATTAACACATTTTTTATTTTTTCCAGCCATTTCCCCCTTTTCTATTGCAAAGGTCCATATTACAATTTTATTTTTTAAATATTATATTAACTACCATTATATATAACGATAACAAAATTATTTCGTAAAATTTATTAATAAAGAAATCTCTTACTAACATGATCAAAATGATCTTTTTATAAATTTTATAAAGTAAAAAATTATAAATAAAAAAGCGAATCGTACATTAAAAAATTATAGTAACTGTAGCAATGTTACAATTTATGTATGAATACGTTCTCTGTAACCGATCTTATCTATGTTGGTACAAAGTGGAATAGTTTAAATCTTTCATGGTGTTTTAGCACAAATTCAGGAGTCCGATGATAATCTTAAACCTTTTTTTGTGATACGAAATCTAAAAGTAAACAAATGACCTTTAAATATTTTGATTCAAGTACAGAAAGAGTTTCCATGACTAATTGATTTTTCTCTAAAAACCTTTTATATATTTTTTTTTTTAATAATAAGAAAATATGTGTCTTGGTATTTGGAAAAGTTTTAGAGGTTTTATTAAAAAAAGAGGTGGAAATGTAGTTGATTTAGGAATCGGTAATGTATCTTTCCATTTTTATTTTATTTATTATTTATTTTAGCGCGTTTTTTAACCAAATTTTAAATAGGTATAATTATTGGAGCCGCTTTCACTTCTATAGTTCAATCGTTTGTTGTAAGTATAATTGATATTAGTAATTAATTCTTAAAAATATTCTTTTTATTTAATGTTTTTTTTTTTTTTTTCCTTAATTTTTTATTTTTTAATATATTTAGAAAGATATTTTAACACCACCACTGGGTTTGATTCTTCATGGTTCAAATCTCGAAAATTATTTTATTGTAATTAAACCTGGAAATACACCAAATGCGACTTATAATACTCCAGCCGAGGCTCAAGAAGATGGTGCGGTGTAAGTAAAGAAATTTGGACGTATTTTTCTATTTTTTTTTTAAAAAAAGAAAAATGTTAATTCGATTTCACGTGATTTTCCTCCATAAGAACCGAGAATATTGGTTCATTCTTAAACACCGTAATAAATTTCCTTTTGGTATGTGGCACGTTGTTTTGGATTTTTTATGGTAAGTTTCCTTTTTCAAATATTTAATTTCCATTCATTAAATTATATAAATAAAATATTAATAAATATATAAATATATTATGATAATTTAGCTTATAGCAAAATTAAAGAATCAAAGAAGGAAGAAGATGATGAAGACCCATGTCCTTGGTGTCAAGAATTAGTTTCAAAAGACGCTGTCAAATGCAAGTATTGTGCTAGCATTATCAATGAAAAGATACCTCCACAATATAAACGGGATCAAAATAATGCGAGTGATAGAGCTTTAATTGATTTACAATAAATTATTTCATTATCATTATTTATTTTTATACATTTGTAATTATATAACATTTATTTATAATTATAAAAAGAATAAATCCGCAAGGATCATATATACTTCTTTATATTTTAAGTATAATGAAATATACACACGTATTACTAAGTATTATGTTTAGAACTAATTATTTCGTTAACAATTATTATTGTGATTATCAGATATAAATTCTTCATTTTTGTGAAATAATAATAATAATAATATTTTCCCTCAAGATATTACGTTCTTTTTATCGATCATAATTCTAAATGTAAAAAATTTCTCTGTTTTGATTGGTCGATTCAAATTATCTTAATAAGATCGATCAAGATGTGCCAAAGGTCTACAACCCTCTATCGAATAAAAAATATGAGAAGATGGTGCTCATTATGTGCTGTAATTTTCCTTGTGGTCTTTGAAATCACTCACAGTAAAGGAGGTATGTCTTTCTACGGAATATATAAATCTCTGTGTTCCGATGCAATAGATGTGTAACAAGGGTCATAAAATGGGTAACTGTATAAAGCACTCTAAGACATGGTGCCCATATTGCTTAAATAAACATGAAAATCTATTTCGCGAAGTTATAACTAACATTATTGGTCCACCTTCTAGCATTCGTCGACCAGACTTCTTGTAAACGCCCGAACATCCTTGAGGACTAGAACTCGACATCTACTAACCACAGTATGGATTTGCTATAGAGATACAAGGCAAACAACATGAGCAACATGTAAAATACTTCCGGAAGAATTTGAAAAGCAGTTAATGCGTGATAATATCAAAAAAGAACTCTGCAAAGAAAATTATATTGTTCTAAGATACGTTTGGTTTTATGAGGACCCATACATAGTCGTTCCAAATCATCTTCGAGAGTTGGGTCTTATTGAATAAACTCAAAACTTTAAATGCTTTTGCGTTTCACTATTATTTTTTTCCGATTATAATTTTATACAGTCAACGACCAAAATTATGCGGACATTTTAAAATCTAAAAAAATTATATACACATAATAAAATAAAATAATATTTAATAAAATAAATACAAATATATCTTTATTTATTGATTT